GAGAGGAGGAGAGGGGAGAGGAGGGGAGGGGAGAGGAGGAGAGGGGAGGGGATGGGACGGGATGGGACGGGATGGAAAGAAAGAAACCACAAACCAGAATATAGATTCTCATGTGTAACTTCAATCATAGCATTCATATGAAAATTTAACTACTCCAAATTAGAAGACAGAAAGTTATCATTCAGTCTTACCTGGCTCTGTCATCTGGGATTTCTGTATCAGAACATCTCTTATTTTCTCCACCCACAGGTAAAGAATACTTTCACCAATATTCTGTCTAAATAAAATCCAGGGATAAAATTCATTGTTTCAAAAATGTTACCTTCTCAAATTCAAAAAAAAATTATTTACAATTATAACCCCAAGTCAGTGTAATAAAACCCAACCATGCCTTTCCAAATATATAATGCATAAAATTTACCAACACTTATGTCTGAGTAACATATATTATGTATACCAACATTAAAGATTTCAAATGGCTCAAAAATGAACAGACCTTACTTAAAACCCAAGTTAAGGAGAACAACTGCATCCAAAGAAAGGAAAGAAAATGTCTAAATCCAAACTACACAGGTAAGATAGGTATCAACATGATTTGTTTCTATCCATGGGTGGTTTTGGGATTCGTGTCCAATCATCACTACCCTTTTCAACTCTCTGAACAAGTCAAACTACTTGTTTGGCCCACAGATCCTTCAACAAGACATACACAGAGTATATCGGGACTCTCTCAGGAACTTAAGAGATCTAAAAGACATGTAACTCAACAGTTTTACACCCATAACATGTTTTCTGACAAACTAGTCTACTGAATAGTTGATTCATTTTGGTTTCAAGTGTTTGGCTGCCTCAAATAATTAAATTCATCTCAAATCACTGAAAAAAAGAATGTACTTTGAGTTCTGAAGTTAAATGATAGGACATCAATAAAAGAAGGACCAAGTATCTCATGTTCAGGGAGTGATGCTGACTATGGTAGCTTTGGAGTGCGTTTAAAGAAGGTTCCAACCTATGTCAGAGCAGCACCATACTGCTTCTCCTTTAAAACTCCCCTCAAAACCAGTACCCTTCTTTATTGCCCTCATCAGTACCCACCAAAAAAACTTTCAAAACAAGCACTTTTCAAACATTTCCAGACTGTCAAACCCACCCATCTCATTGGTACATATCTTCTGGAACTAAAATGGTCTTTGCTGTATCTCTTTGCAAGCTTTATTTGTAGAAAGCAAAGACATAAACTGGAAAGGTTTCTAAAGACAGAGAATTTCTTTAAAGGATATTCACTCCTTTCTTCTCTGGACAATGCAAGTTCCAATGTATGAAGTGTACACCAGGTCCCAAGAACATTATATACACCAACACAGATGATTCTTAGAACTGTCCAAAGACAGTGTCATGATTGCCCCATTATGAAGATGAGAACAGAGATCAGTTAGCTTATTCAACAGCTTTGTCATCAAGTAAAAAGGCCTGAGCTGAAATAAGAATTGAGAATTGAGGTGTAAAGCTCAAGTCACCTGCATCTTGTTCCCCTATCAAACAGCTAATGATAAGGGTACTTCAATAGTCTATGGGATGGATTTGTATACAATCTACATGCACACCCTGCTAAAGGCTTGTCTGTCCTGGGTGAACCTTTGATCTAGAAGGCTTAGGAGGAACACAAGACTCAACGACACTGGTGCAGGGGAGTCCTCCCTCTTTCAGAGCCTCTAGTATAGAGACTACACTGCCTGGGGTCCTGGGGCTATGGCAGGGAGCAGGAGAATGTCAACCCTTTCTTAGTGTTGGTAACCATTCCTACACAAGAACACAGCTTTATATAGAGTTCCATCTCCCACTCTTATTCTACTGAATTCCTCATATCACCATCCCCCTAGTGATTTTAATACTAACGTAGACTGAACACCTACTATACATAAGTGCCAAAATGCTTATTACCCCAGTCTGCACTCACTAGCCCCTGTGAAACTTGAAAACTGTCCCTTCATAAATATGAATTCACATTCTGATTTTGTTCTTTAAGACAAGATCTTGATGTATGTAGCCCAAGCGAGTCTATATGTCTACTCACCATGCAGCCCAGGCTGCCTTGAATCCATGCTCTTCCTATCTCAGTCTCTGCACTGGACTTACAGACTAGGATCACTCCATCTGACTCCTCATTCAACATTTGAAAAATAATACCTTGGAAGAATTTCTACAATTGGTAATTTCCCACAGCAACAAAGGAAATTCAACCTTCACTTCAGATGTCTTCTCCTCACCATGGCTCCCATGAAGGCACAGGCCAGAGCACTACTGAGCTTCGTGCACCGCTGTTTCTGTCTTCACTAGCATTAGCAAGGCTGCTGCTTGAGAATCCAGTGCAAAGAGCCACTGTGGCTATGAGGCTTTCTGGGTCAAGTAGAAATCATTCTCTACCACAGACCCCCCTAAAGTCTACCACCAAAGTACAAAAATGTTTGTATTAGAAGTATTACACTGTATTTGTTTTCTCTTGCGACAAGAATTTTTTTTTTTTTTTTTTTTTGAGCTGAGGACTGAAACCAGAGCCTTGTGCTTGCTAGGCAAGTGCTCTACCACTGAGCTAAATTCCCAACCCTTATTTCTATCTTTTAACTATCCACTAGGAGTGTGACTTATTTTTAAAAAAACTGGTCTTCCAACTTTTGCCATTCATTGCTGTGATGAAGGCCTTTATAGAATCAGAAGGTAACTACACTGAGCAAAGCTGAAAGCCTTGCTCCTAAATACCTGCATCTTCCTTTTTGTTTATACTCTCTGGCTCACGGTAGGAAATTCTGCTTTCCCAAACACTTGCATCATCAGAGCTCCGAAGCCACGGGGCTGACAATGCCAGATGGGAATCTCCAAAACTGACCTGAAATAAACCTATTCTCTGTAAATTATCTCAAGAGTTTTGTTTAAATGGTGCAAGGCTAACAAACCACTACTGTGTGTGAAATAAAGTATATTACATGGATGTCACTTAATCCTTACAATGATACTATACTCATACTACCAGTATGAGAATAAACACAAAGAAGTATGCTATTCAAAAGCTGATTCCAGAAGCTTGACCAAAACAGCCTTAACACAGCCTAACAGGCTTCTGATGTTATGAGGTACACATTCATCCTCAAGTGTGTGTGTGCATTGCTGAGGGTCAAGCCTAGGACCTCATTCATCTTGATTTGTGTGTTTGTGACGCTGGGGATGAACCCCAGTACCTCACACATGCTAGGAAGGAGCACTAGCACTGAACTACATCCTGTGCCTCGCCATTATAATTTGCTTTGTTTTATTTGTCTGTTTCTTTTGTTTTTGTTTTGAGGCAGTCTTATTATGCAGCCCTGATTGTCCTGGAACTCAAGACATAGACTGGGCTGACCCTGAACTCACAATGATTTATCTGCCTCTGCCTCCCAAGTGCTGGGATCAAAGGTGTGTAACATCACACCTAGCTCTGTCTTCATTTTTAAATCCCAAATTCCTAGCAGAGAGGCAGTATATAGAAAATAAAAAATCTTTATCAAAAGATTCTTTCTTTCTTACCTGTCCACGTAAGTGGCCACTAATCATA